TGATTAATAATAATATAAATAATTTGAATACAAATTATTTTCGTACCGATCAGAATCGTGTTTGAAGGCACGTGTGGACGGACGAATGTCACGTCGTCAACTAACTTATACAATCGACGAAAACAGAGGCATCGCAATACATTCAAAAGACACAATACAATTTAAGATGCAAATGAATACATTTAAAAGCAGATTTAGGACCTTGAAATAGGAGAAAAGTGAATGGCCGAGAAAAGTAAACTATTGGATGTGATGAGAGTGTTATTGAGATTTTAGAAATTGAGAATATTTGTCATTCAACTTATTTATATCTTCTTTAGTGTTTATTGGATTGGTTTGCAAATTTATGTGTATCATCTCCGATATCAATCTCCTTCCTCTTACTTTTTCTCTATCTAGTATAGAGAATTCGTCAAAATCGAAAACATGACCTTGCTCGGCACTGTGTAATGCAAGTGCGTTATCTCTAGAGTTTTTATGTTCGTAGACACGTTTTTTTATCATACGTTTTGATTCACCTACATATGAGACGGGGCAGTTTTTACAATTAATTTTATAGACAGAGTTCACAGTTTCATTGTTGTTTGTTTTATCTTTACCTTTCTTAATAAAATTGTTATTATACATACCTAGGGGAAGAGAATGGATGTTATATCTTCTTAGGTTAGACTTTGTTCTTTCATAAAAGCCTTTTATGTATGGTAAACATATTTTTGGTATTAATTTATAATAATCATTCTTATTTTTGCTAACAGTAATATTTGAATTTATTTTGCAAAAGGGTTTTTTAAGGGGTTATGCCACTTTAGGATTTTAAAAAAATCGATTTTTTTGCATTAAATAGTCCCTTAGGGTATAAGAAATAACATATCGTAGTATTACGGCTAGGGAAAATCTCTAAGTAATTTATTTTCGTATTTTCGTAGCGGCGAGGTCCTTTTGTTAGCGCGCTACGGGAGGTGATCTTTGAAGGATCTAAAGCAGGTATAAGGTAGATGTTTGTAATGACGCTACTTACATGTCTAAACTATAGTCTATTCTACTTAATTTGGCTTCACAAACAGTATGCAAGCGTCTGTTTCAGTCAGTTAGGCATAGCCAAGCATGTGAATGTTTTTTACAACTTTAAACTTTAAACTCGATTATCTAAAAACTACATTTTTCGTGTTGGCCGCACTAACAACTCGTACAATTTTCAACCGATTAAGTTCAAACTTCACAAACATCTTTGAAAATATATTTTTTAAGGCATCACGTAGGATTTTTTTTTATTTTGTATTGTTCATTTGTTATTAACAATTTACTGACTATTTTTTGGTAGAATTTAGAAAGGTTAACTTTAGAAGTGCGCCATTTGACCATAAATCAATATATCGAAAAAATCCTACGTGTTGCTTTAGCTATTGTAATGTACAATAAATAAAAAATTATATATTCAAGATATTTCAAAATTTACAGAAACAGTTGGTGCAGCCACGGACCATATGCGCCACAGAGATGTCGACGGAAAACCTCAACAGCGTCATCGCCATTTTTCATTAAATTATTATGAAAATTTATATTTTTAAACTTCAAAAGATGTACAATAAACTCCTCATATCACAATTTTAATTGACTTTATAAATTCTCTGAAAAAATTCACAAAAATGCCTATTTTTTCGGTTTCTAGAGTGGCATAACCCCTTATTATGTTTGTCTATAAGAAGCTTGGGGTAACAGTTATCAATAAGTAAGTTTTTAATAAATTTTATATTTATCCCATGAAAACATTTGTTTGAAAGTTTTATTGCTCTATCAGTAAGGTTGTATATTAGTGCAATCTTCTGAGTGTAGGGTTGTTGAAAGTTGAAATTTAATATTCTTCTAGAAAAAGTTGGTTTTTGATACCAGTCAGTTATTATTTTGTTATTTTTGTTAATGATTAAAACATCTAAAAAATTAATAGAATTGTTTTTTTTTATTTCGAAAGTGAACTGCAGTCTATTGTCTCATATGTAGGTAAATCAAAACGTATGATAAAAAACGTGTCTACGAACATAAAAACTCTAGAGATAACGCACTTGCATTACACAGTGCCGAGCAAGGTCATGTTTTCGATTTTGACGAATTCTCTATACTAGATAGAGAAAAAGTAAGAGGAAGGAGATTGATATCGGAGATGATACACATAAATTTGCAAACCAATCCAATAAACACTAAAGAAGATATAAATAAGTTGAATGACAAATATTCTCAATTTCTAAAATCTCAATAACACTCTCATCACATCCAATAGTTTACTTTTCTCGGCCATTCACTTTTCTCCTATCTCAAGGTCCTAAATCTGCTTTTAAATGTATTCATTCGCATCTTCAATTGTATTGTGTCTTTTGAATGTATTGCGATGCCTCTGTTTTCGTCGATTGAATGAGTTAGTTGACGACGTGACATTCGTCCGTCCACACGTGCCTTCAAACACGATTCTGATTGGTACGAAAATAATTTGTATTCAAATCTATATATATAAGATGAGACTTTTGTCTGTACATTGCTCAAAACTTTAAATTTCCCACATAATTATTCCTTTCGAGCATCCAGGATTCCAAATATACCAATAAAAAATTTCGTGTATGTATGTATGTATGTATGTCCGTATGTCACAGAATCTTTGTCCGCGATTCACTTAGAAACGGCTGAACCGTTTGATACCAAATTTGACAGATTGTTAGACATTGACCCAAGGAAGGTTTATAAATTTAAAGATTTGAAAAATATTAATTATAACGGAATATATGTAATTTTTTCAAAAAATTAAAAAATCAAAAATTTTCATTTTTTTAAAAACTGCTCTTAAACTTTTTATAACTGAGTAATACATGCTATTTAGTCACATTTTAACATAATTTTACCAAAAATAATATTCTATAACTAAGATGTAAGTATAAAATTTTTTTTTAAAATCGAAAATTTTTAAATTTCATATTTTTTGATGAATTGCTTTTAAACCATTTATAATTGAGTATTCCACGTTATTTAGTCAAATTTTAGCAATATTTTGCAAAAAATGCTATTCTATAACTAAGTTGTAATTTATTTAAAAATTTTCGAAAGAATAAAAAATTATAATTGTTACCAATTACTACCAAGCTAAATTCAGTTGTATTTTTGGTAACTCTTATTAATTTTTTCAAACACTAATATATGACTTAATATTTCTATTTAATATAAGGTAAAAATTTTATTAAAATCAATTTATTAAATTTTAATTTTTTAACTGAAATAAAAATTTTAAAAAAATTTTTTTAAATGCTTAGTTCAAAAAATTAAATAAATTAAAAATTTTTAAATACTTTAAAAAGCAAATTATTTATCATTTAATTAACAATTCATTGAATTGACAAAAAATCCAATGTAAAGATCAGAAATATATTTTGAATAATATAAAATTTAATTTTACGTTATTGGTAAAACAAGTGAATTTTGAAGACAATTTCAAATTATAGAAATAGATATATATTCAATTCATTTGAAAAAAACATATTTGTTTTTAATTGACATTTCAGAGGTACGATTTATGTATTACATAATATTATAATTTGACATTTTAATAAATAAATAAATATTGAAAATAATTTTTGAAAAATAATATAATTGAAATTCTATTAATTAATTAATTTGATTTATAATAAATATGTGTTTTAAAAATATCAAGACAATTAATTTTAATATATTGTTGTTATTATGGTGAATTGTCATAATGGATCAATAATAGAACCGGTGAGTTTTTTAAAATATGTCTTTTAGAATTTGATAACATAATTGTTTAAATCAGTTTTATTATTTATATTATTAGCAATAAAATTATTTTTAAAAATGTTTAAAGAAGCAAAAACATTTATTCATTTTTATTTTATGAATAAATTGATTTTTTTATTGAATGAAATTAATATTGTTATTAATTAATTTTCTGTCCACTTTTCATAAACATTTTTTTTTATTTTTAAATGAGTTAATATAATTCTTAAAAAAAATGTATTCATTTAGAATTTCCTTATTTATTTATACCTATATAAATAACCAATGAAATAATTTTATTTATTTTCTTTTTGAATTAAATTAATTTTTTCTTTATTGTATCAATTTTATTATTAATTTTTTTTAAATTATTAAATTTGAATTTTTGAATTTAAATTTTTTTATTCTGGTTATAATAAATTCGTGTTTATTAATGTAATGAAATGGAATCGATTGTGTAAATAAATAATTTCTTTTTATTTTTATCTAAGTTTATCTATTTCTATATTTGAAATTTCTTTAAATGTAAAATACATTTAAGAATTATCATTATTAATTAGACAACAGACATGCCAAAAAGAAAAAGAAAAAATATTGGCCGAAATTCTAAAGATGCGAAAAGAAAGAGGACGATAAGAGCGGCAAACCGGAATGAACCAGGAAATTTCCAGGATGTGGATGTACCAATTTTGAGTGATGAACAAATTCGTGAGAGAAACAGGACAAGGAAAGCTGTGGCAAGAAGGAATGAAGGGACAGAGAAAAAAGAAAGAAGATTAGCAGCCAATAGAATACGAAATGCTGAGAGAAGAGCAAATGAAAGTGTTCATGAAAGGGAAAGTAAATTACTAATCAGTAGAGTGCGGAAATCTAAAGCAAGAATTAATGAAAGTGTAGAAGAGAGAGAAGAAAGATTGGAGGGGAATAGAGTGCGGAACTTTATTGCTAGAATGAGTGAAAGTGTGGAAGAGAGAGAAGAAAGATTGGAGGAGAATAGAGTTCGGAACTCTATTGCTAGAATGACTGAAAGTGTGGAAGAGAGAGAAGAAAGATTGGAGGGGAACAGAGTTCGGAACTCTATTGCTAGAATGAGTGAAAGTGTGGAAGAGAGAGAAGAAAGATTGGAAAAGAATTGAGTTCGGAACTCTATTACTAGAATGACTAAAAGTGTGGAAGAGAGAGAAGAAAGGTTAGAAAGCAATAGAGTGCGGAACTCTATTGCTAGAATGGATGAAAGTGTGGAAGAAAGAGAAGAAAGGTTAGAAAGCAATAGAGTGCGGAACTCTATATCTAGAATGAATAAAAATATGGATGAGAGAGATGAAAGATTGTGTAGAAATAGAAGTAATTATCTTATTCAAAGTAATATTCGTAATGAAATATTAGTAGAGGGAGCAATGAGAGTTCAGGTAATAAGAAACAATAAGTCGGAAGAACAAACTGCACATAGACAAGCAATTGATAGAGAGAGACAACAAGTTATTAGAGAATTGGAGCCTATTCGTGTCAGACAAAATAGACTTGCAATTGAAGTATCAAGGCATGTGATAAGGAATAATAATAAGTGGTTAAATAAACGAAACAGTGGTTTTTCTTATGATTCACTTATTAATTATTCTGAAGCTGCAAATATTGGAGAAATGAATAAAATTTGTAACTATTGTCAATCTTTGAAATGGGCAGATGAAGCGAAGGGCTTATGCTGTTCTTCTGGCAAAATTGTTATAACTTCTTTACCAGAACCACCAGAACCTCTTCGATCTTTACTTAACGGAGATCTTCCTCACTCTCTGATGTTCTTGCAACAACTTCGAGCTTTCAATAGTGCGTTTCAAATGACGTCATTTGGAGCTTCTGAAGTTTATGAATCAGGGTTTAGGCCTACATGTAGAATTCAAGGACAAGTGTATCACAGAATGGGATCTCTTTTAGCTTCATCTGGTCAATCCGCGAGCTATCTTCAAATATACTTTATATCCGATGCTCAGGAGCAGGCTACAAGAAGAGTTTCCATTTTTAATACTCTTGATTCAAACTTAATTCTACTAATTCAAGATTTGCTACACGAACATCACACCTATATTCGTAGTTTTAAATCAGCTGTAGAGGCAATGCCCTCTGAATCACCAGATTACAGAATTGTGATAAAAGAAGACCGACTTCCAGCAGGACATCATCCAGGTAGATACAATGCACCAACTGCATCTGAAGTCGCTGTAATCATGGTTGGTGAACCAAGTGAATCAAGGGACATTGTCATACAAAAAAGAACAGGACAACTGATTAGAATATCTGAGACTCATCGCGCTTATGATACACTCCAATATCCACTTATTTTTTGTCGTGGAGAAGATGGTTACCATTTTCAGTATAAGCATAGAGATCCTACATCAGGAGAATTTGTAAATAAAAAAACTTCTGCTTTGGAATTTTATGCTTATCGTTTTATGATCCGGGTAAACGATCCTAACCACTTACATAAATATCGGCAATTATTTAATCAGTTTGCAGTAGATATTTATGCGAAAATTGAGAGTGAAAGAATGGTCTATTATCGAACACACCAAACCGAACTAAAAGCAGAAAAGTATATTCATCTCTAAGATGCCATCAACAGAGATGAGAATGTACAAAATTTAGGGCAGAAGGTAATTCTACCTTCATCCTTCACTGGCGGTCCTAGATACATGCATTCACGTACTCAAGATGCATTCTGCTACGTTCGGAAATTTGGGCGTCCTGATCTCTTTATCACTATCACAACTAATCCGCGATGGTCAGAAATTAACGTTTTATTGTTCGAAGGTCAATCCGCGCAAGATCGCCATGACATTGTTTCGCGAGTATTTCACTTAAAATTAAAATGTTTGATGTCGCTTTTGCGAAATGGACAAATTTTCGGTAGTGTGCGTTGTTTTATTTATTCCGATGAATGGCAGAAGCGTGGTCTGCCTCATGCCCATATATTACTCTGGTTAGAAGAATCTCTACACCCAAATTGTGTTGATGAGATCATATGTGCAGAACTGCCAAATCCTGCAGATGATAAACAATTATTTGACATTGTAAAAAGCCATATGGTACATGGACCATGTGGATCTTTTAACACTCGCCATGGATGTATGAAGGAGGGTCTGTGGCGGATGAGATATTTTAACCGTTTATTTACTTAAGTTTTTAGGGTAAAATTGTTGGAATAAATTTATGATTTTCTATTCAATTTTCTTTTCCTAAAACTTTCTATTTCATTCAACCCAGCAGATGTTTTGCACATTTTACGGTAGGGTTTTATTACTGTATATCGGCCGTCTAGAATTTAATTGCTTTTCTACCCGGATTAACGCTCGGGCGACAATTTACCGATTTAGGTATACATTTTTTTCATGTTTAAGAAAAATGTATACTCTTTACAAAAACATCTCCTTACCTCCCACCATTAATTTTTACAAATTATTGTCTACTACCTTTTTGGGCAAAAATGCATTTTTGCCATCTTTGTAAAATCAGTTTGGCTTGGGCTTTCGAGTTGTGCTTTTCGTTTCTACCCAGCCTCGACTGATCGAATAAATTATTATTGAATAAATATCTTTTTATTGTTATTTTTTAAAGTTAAATATTTGCGTCATATTTATTGTTCACCACACTCCTTTCTCCCACAAATTGGTGACCCCGTTTTAAAAAAAGTGGTTAAATTAGTGTGAGTGATAAGTTTTCTTCTCGTGAAATCGACATTTGTCAAAAAAGAAAATGTCTGATACAGAAGAAAAAAACAATTCACCCGGAGATAACGACGGTAAGGGTGAAGTGGACATTAGTGTTGTGAGTTCGGGAAATTTACGGATTCCGCAGTTTTGGCCAAATAAAATAGAGCTTTGGTTTAGACTTTTAGAAGCGCAATTCGCTACGTCGCGTATTTCAAAAGACGATACAAAATTTAATATCACAATTGCTAATATTGGTGAAAAATACGTGGAACAAGTGGAGGACATTATTATTTCACCTCCAGATGAGAAGAAATATGAATGTTTAAAAAAGGTATTCATAAAAAGACTCTCGGATTCAGATTCTTCGCGAGTGAGACGACTGCTGGAAAACGAAGAAATTGGTGATCGAAAACCGTCACAATTTTTCCGCGATTTAAAAAAACTCGCAACGACTTCCGGTCCGGAAGAATTTATTTTGACTTTATGGAAAAATCGTTTGCCGACAGATATCCAACGTGTTCTAGCCGCGTCTAATATCGCGGATGTAAGCTCATTAATTGATACCGCAGATCACGTACATGAAATACCGCGGAATGCGGGACGGATTGCGGAAATTAAAAAAGATGACGATTTTTCTAGTTGGAAGGACGAAATTAAAAAATTACGCGAAGAGATTTCCGCGTTATCCCTCGGACGCGAGCGGAACGAAAACCGCGCGCGGAACCGCAGTAAAAGTCGGAACCGCAGTTCCACTCCGGGACGAAAAAGTGAGTACAAAGAAGATGGACGATTTTGCTGGTACCATTTTCGTTACAAAGAAAAAGCAACAAAGTGCCGTGATCCATGTGCGTGGAAATCGGGAAACGATCAAAACCGTCAATAAACGCGGCAACCGGAGGCGGTTTTGAGTCACGCCGCATATTTGTGTCTGACCTAAACACAAAAGATTCTTTTTTAATTGATACTGGTGCCGATTTATGTGTTTATCCGCGAAACAAAATTCGCGGAAAAGTGCAAAAATGCGAATATGGACTTTTTGCAGCAAACGGCACACCGATCGCTACATACGGTACAATTGCACTCGATCTCGATTTTTCTTTGCGCAGAAATTTTAAGTGGAGTTTTGTGGTCGCGGATGTTAATAAACCAATTATCGGAATGAACTTTTTATCATATTATGGTTTATTAATTGATCCACAAAACAAAAGACTAATAGATTCTGTGACAAAACTCTCTACCACGGGTTGTTCGGCAAATAGTGAAGATAGGTAAGTTTTCAAAATTTAAATTAACATGTAACATTTCGAACAAATGTAGGATATCCTATGATATTCGAAAGTTGTCCATAGGATATTCAAACGGCCGCTTCTTTAGAATATATGTGGACGTCCACATGAAAAGGGCCCATATTGTCGGTTCTAGTTTTCGAGAGAATCGCAATTTAGTAATTTTTGAGCAAATTCTTAATTTTTTTTTATTTTTTATTATCAATCTACATGTTTTGACAAGTCGAATCATGCGGTTTTTATTAATTTATCGATAATTTAACTGTTTGATTTCATTGGTTCTTTAGAAAAATGAAAAGGGCCCATATTGTCGGTCATTTGCAAAAGTAATCCGTATTTTAAAAATGGAGGTGTGGAAAAATTTTAAACCTCTTGATTTTTCATCTTTATGGTGTCCTGGACTGTAAACAATTCTTATCTGAATAACTTCCGAGAAGACCCAGAGATATTGATGTTAGAGTCTTTTTTTCGTAATTATCGAAATGAAAATTTGTATATTTCGTCAATTTTTTCATAATAGAGACTGTCAAAATTTTTTTAATAACTTTAATATCTATTCTTTTTCTTCAAATGACACAATAAAATTGTACCTAATCATTAATCCTGTAAAAAAAATGGTTTTTTAATAGAAAAACTGTCCTTATTAGAAAAGGGCCCATATTGTCGGTTTCTCGTACTTAAGTACGAAATTTTTCAAAATTAAGAGGGGGGGACGGTTTTAAAAATTTAAAACTTATTGGTTTTTCATCTTTTAGGTACCCTGGACTGTAAACAATTCTTATCTGAATAACTTTCCAGAAGAACCAGAGATATTGATATTAGAATCTTTTTTTCGTAATTGTCGAAATGAAAATTTCAATATTGCGTCAATTTTTTCATAATAGAGACTGTCAAAAATTTTTAAATAAGTTTAATATCTATTCTTGTTCTTCAAACGACACAATAAAATTTTACTTAATCATTAATTTTGTAAAAAAATGTTTTTTCAATAGAAAAACTGTCCTTTTTAGAAAAGGGCCCATATTGTCGGTTTTTAAATTAATTAATTAATTAAGGGGAGGGGGTGGGTCTAAAAATGTAAAACCTGTTGGTTTTTTATCTTCAAGGTGCCCTGAACTGGAAACAATTCTTAACTGAATAACTTCCAAGAAGAACCAGAGATACAACAATTAGTTGGTATCGCAATCTTTAATTCCGTTTTTCTCGAAATGAGGTTTTTGGCGTTCTAAACTTTGAAATTCCGTAACTCAGCGAATTTTCAACCAAAAAAGTTCTAAGACCACTCAAAATTTTCCAAATTTTGTCAGGAATACGTCCATATAGATAACTCCACTAGTGCCAAAATGGGCCCTTTTCATGTGGACGTCCACATATTTGTGATATCCCTATTGGATATCGTGAGATATTTTCAGAACATCTCAAGGATATCCTTAGGATATTTTTAGACATCCAAGTGTTATCTTATAAATATCCTCAGAATGTCACAGAATATCCAAACCTTAGGTCTCTAGGATACTATATAATATTATCTATTGGTTATCTCTAAAATATCCCTAGGATATTCATTAATATTTTAATTAATCATTCTTACAATTGATTTTTATTTTTTAATATTGTACGTTTTATAAATTTAAATTATAGGTTGGCCGTTACCTTACGCTTTTTGGCAACTGGAGACTCATATTCCAGTTTACAATACTTATTTTGTATATCGAAACAATCTATTGGCAGAATAGTGCCTCAAGTATGCACAGCACTCATTGAAGAATTAAAGGATAATATAAAAGTAAGAGAATAATTCTGCTATTATCGTTATAAATAAGTTTATTTTCGATTTATGAGATTAATTACATTAATTATGTAAAATCATAAAATGTCATAACAAATGTTTATTTATAAAATCAAAACTTATTGAGAAGAAGAATTATTTAATGATTGTGTGTAAATCGAATTTGATGTGTGAGATGCTTGAGGTTCAGAATGATAATTAAATATTTGTGTGCATGGAGAGTTTGGTGTCACAGGTGAATGTGTATGGAAGGAAGAAGGACTGAACGATGAACGTGTAGGTGTAAGTGGGAAATAAGACTGGAAAGAAGAAGAATTTTCAAAAGATATAGTATGATGTTGATTTGTAGTTGATGGTGGATAAGATGGAAAAATCGAAGAGATGTTTGTTTGTGGGGTATAAGTTGTTTGAAAAAAATTTAATTGCGAGTTAGAGTTTAGATTATCATAATATCCTTGATCAGCTTTTGACAAAATATTATAAATTTCACTTTCAACAAATTGTCTTGTTCGTTTGCTGTAAGTATTCATCTTTCCCATAACCAAATTTCCGAAAATTGTTGTCAATGAATTTGAATTTTGTTGTTCCAGACGACTAGAAGCGTTTCTCATGATATTCAAACATTCCGTAATCATGTTATCATTCTTTTCTCCTCTTCTTCTTTTTCTTGATGTCGGTGCTTGTGATGTTGGGGTTTGTTGTATTGTTGGTTGTGGTGTTAGTGCTTGTGGTGTTTGAGGTTGTGATGTTGGTACTTGCATACTATTCATTAAATTTGAATCATCTTCCTCCTCAATATTAATATCCTCGTTGTCTGAGACTTCATCTAATTCCACTGTTTGTTCCTGTAAAAGATTTAAATTCTCTAAATTCAATCCAATTATGACATTTTTACAAATATTAAATAAAACTTTGCGTTATAATATTTTTTTCTGCCACACAGCTCGTAACCTTGCTGCAAGTTTGAAATGTCCCACTAACACATTGCACGGCAAGCTTTCTGCAATATTACCTAGAAATTTTGCGGTAAGCATGTAGAAATATTGCCGTAAGCTTGTTGCTAAAAAAGTTATTTTGTATTATTTTGTATGTATTTCACGGCAAGCTTGCTGCAAGATTACATGCTATCTGGGTTGTAGCAAGCTTGATAAAAGATTGTTGCAGGTTTCTGTGCTCTATGGGACTTTTCTTTATTAAAATTTTTTATAGATCCCTACAAATGAAGCAGCTTGGCTAGAAGTTAAAAATAATTTTCACCAACTTTGGAATTTACCGCACTGTGTGGGAGCAATTGATGGAAAACATGTAATATTACAATCACCAATAAATTCAGGCACTGAATTTTTTAACTACAAATCACAATTTAGTATTGTTTTGATGGCTGCAGTTGATGCAGATTACAATTTTATGTTTGCTGATGTCGGGTGTCAAGGACGAATTTCAGATGGAGGTGTTTTAAAAGATTCATTACTCTACAAAAAGATGTCTGAAGAGAATTTAAGATTGCCAGCAGAAGAAAATTTGCCAGGACGTACAATGAAGATTCCATATTTTTTTGTTGGAGATTCTGCATTTTCTATGAATAAAAATCTCTGGAAACCATTTCCAGGTGATCATATAAAAGGAAGCGCGAAAAGAATTTTTAACTATCGATTCAGCAGGGCTCGTCGAGTTGTAGAAAATGCGTTTGGTATTATTTCTTCAGTATTTAGATTTTTAAGAAGACCAATGCTTTTACAACCACATATTGCACAAGTAATTGTACTCGCATGTCTGCATCTTCACAATTATTTAAGGAAACATTCACCAAATATTTATTCACCATGAAAATCATTTGATCGTGAAGAAAACAGTGTTTTTGTAGAAGGATCTTGGAGACATGACCAAGATATGACGTCATTGCTTCCATTAACAAATGTACCAAGAAGGGGGAGACTTTATTACGATCAAATTCGAAACGAAGTTGCAGACTATTTCCTTAAAGAAGGAGCCGTGGAATGGCAAAACTCATATGCATAATTAAAATCGATAATAAACTGTATACATTTCAAGAGAAAATAAAGATTCCATCAATAAATACAAGAAAATTTTATTGTATATTCTGTCTTCATGATTTTAGGTTATAAGAGTAAAGAAAAAATTAAAGTGTATACAGTAGGAAAGCTTCATGTCAGTCATAGACTATGAGTGCGCGAGAGACAGACTTATGCGATTCCCATACTTCCCTATGACTGACATGAAGTTTTCTTACTGAATATGGATTTACTTACTGTGTTTATATGTTTTCGTGGTTTATCAATGTCATTTATAAATCTCATTGCTTTATACGCAAACCACCTACTCTCATAAATTTCATCACCTCCTAAAAACAGTGATAATTTCTTTCAGAAGGAAGTAAGTAGATAACAACAATTATTGCTTTAAACATTACTAAATTATTAAATTTACAAAATATTTTTGTGTTATTCTATTCAGATTATTTAATTGCAAAAATAGAAGAAAACTGCAAATTTCTATAAGCTTTGAGTGTAAAGTTATGTAAATAACAAAAATTATTGTTTAAACATTGCTAAATTGTTAAAATCACAAAAATCAACGGTTTTATTCTATTCAGATTATTTAATTGCAAAAATAGAAAAAAGCTGCAAATTTCTATAAGCTTTGAGTGTAAAGTTATGTAAATAACAACAATTATTGTTTAAACATTGATAAATTGTTAAAATCACAAAAATCAACGGTTTTATTCTATTCAGATTATTTAATTGCAAAAATAGAAAAAAGCTGCAAATTTCTATAAGCTTTGAGTGT